GATTGATTCCGGCACCTCATGTGGTACTCAGACCGAGCCAATAGTTTACCCGTCTATGTATCTTATCCTGCGGATAGCCTCTACCTCATGTCCCGATAAGAACGATGTGTAGGACCTTGTATATATAAACACACGTATTGCACCACTACAGAGAGCTACGAATACCCCGTGTTTGATACGCGGGGGTATAGATGGCCTGTAGCGAAGGAATTAGCTTATGGTCTGGGAAACATGTTCGAGTCGAAAGAGTCGATAGTGGACTCGAATCAAATGAGAGTGTAAACTCGGCAATAATAAAGCAAAGGTGCAAACGTCGTATCCTACTGTCGTGCCTGCACAGTTTTTGAATTTTTTACCATCTTGAGGTAAGCGAATGGATCCTAGCTATTTCATATTGATCATATCATCGCGGTTAGGAGAAACACCAAGTCAAACGACATCCTGTACTATTTCCTTGCGCTTTTCAAAGCAGTGGATGGACTTATTTTGTGAAAGAACAACTGGATATTAGGGTATCCTCCTTCCTCCTACCACCCTCGCGGAGAACCACCAACTGATTCCACACCTCTTGCATGCATTTTCATACATGAACTGAGCCAAAAGCTTCCCTGTTCGGTAGGTACGGTACCGGTACTGCGTAGTCCTACTGATATTAGGGTGTATTCGTAACTGCGCTCATGATCCCACCACACATAGCCAAAAGTTTACCTGCTGACGATTTGAATTGTCTAGTCAAGATGTCTGGTGTGCGTCGTACTGCCGATGGAATACAGGTACCAGGTAGCAGGTACCGGTCAGTAAATGGACCCTTCGATTAATCATCGCATCACGGTACTGTATAATTATATTTGTGCAACACAAATTAGCCCAACATCCCGGTCATTGGCTTGCTCCTGCTATGCATGGTATTACAGTTTCGCTCAGCCCGTTGGCAGCTCTTTCGATTCTCTCCAGGCTAGTGCAAATGGTTTGAGTGAGCGCCGAGCGTTCCCTCAGAAATCCTCACCAGAGACATCCTTTTGTTAGCTCCTTTTGCGAGGATGCAAGTCGTTCAAACGAGAAATAGAAAGCACAAAAGGCATTACTATGCTCGCAAGAGAGAGTGATTCAAGACTATAAATCAGATGTCGTGCACTAGGAAACAGAGATCACAAACTGTGCAATTGCTACTATGGAATATGGCAGTTGGTCACAGGAGTGTGGAGCATCCTTTTGAACTCCCAACGTACTTTCCCTTGCTCTCCATTTCGGTTGTCATGTCCATGAGGATCGTAGTCGAATGCAGCATTTAGGACTAATCACGTGTATCGACTAATCTACTTGTATTCCAGTAGTTACGATGATGATGGCAAAGAGAATCTTCGAATCAGCTTCTTGTCATATGCCAGCTCCATAGCTGCCGCGGTGACACCAAACATGACAAAACTTTCAGCTCCGTACAGAACCGCCTGATAGATCATGTTCCAGTCAAAGTAGCCTAGTGGCTCGCCGCCTATACATTAGAAATAGATTGAGTTCAGTGTTGCGAGTCAACATGAAACGAGTTTCTGGTTATCAATAAAAAGCGCAGTTTCGTCAATGTAATCACCCCCAAGGATAACTTACATGTCAATGGAAATGCCGAGCACGAAGTAGACGCTTGAATATTGCTCAGTGTCCGAACAATTGCAAAAGCGCCCACTGCTCCTTGACTGAGCATGGGATTGTTGTCTCCCTTTCGTGACACATACCTATATGTAATCGCAAAGAGCCCCGCTTGAATGGCCGCCATATCCGTAGCTAATTCAAACTGCGCCATACTATAGTCCGAATAGTGGAAATATGTCAAGGGAGCCACACTGAGTGATCCTATCAATGCACCGGCAACCAAGGCCTTGCCACTTTCAATCCGTTGTTCGTTCATGCTCAATTCTGGTCCATCGTCATCCTCTTTTATTTCGTAGGTAGGGCGATAATCGAGACCTGGTTCACCTTTCGAATACTTTTGAGAAGAATCACTAATTCCTCCCAGTCTACTCTTGAGCTCGTCCCAAGGAGATTGAGGAGGGACAGCAAGCAGGTGATTATGTGGCCGGCTTCTTGAGGCTGACTCCGTGTGTTGTTGAGTCACTGACGAGGATGGGGATTTCGTGACAAAGGCTTGGCAGTCGTGGCTCAAAAGCAGCAGCAATGTAGATAATAAGGTAGATAAAGAAATCATGGAGTGTAACAACGTCTTGTGGTAAAGGGACCTTCGGTTGCACTATGTTGATGTATTCAATCAAGATGTTTTGTGTGTTTTCTTTTCTTATTGCGTTTTTTAAAACGTCACTCAATTGGGAAGTCGGACTAGTCGGTTGTTCAGCATCTGCTATATATTATACCGGTACACAGTATGTACCGTACCGGTATCTTGCCGGTACCGTACCGCGGCATTGTACCCGTGTCGCGATACCGGGACATCACTCAAACACACCGCGGTACGTGTACCATGATGCACACTATGGCGACACGAAAATTCAGTTTCAAGTTATCCATGAGTGTCAAATAAATATTCGATTTACTGTACATTTATATAATACAGTTGTACCTAGTAGGCTATTCCTCCGCCCTACTTCAGCAGTAGCAGTACAAAAATTTCGATAAGAATGGTTTATTTCGTTGCGCTCGGACACTTGAAGGTGATAGCAAGGCCAGGAGGAGGACAATGAATCCCATGCTCGTCAAATGGGGGAGGTCTTCTGATTCTTTTACTTCGAAAGGTCCGATCCTATTCTAATAATACCGACGCACTTGATACAACTCTAATGTCAGACAAGCTTAGTACGAAATACATCCAAACCAAGCCCCATCAGCGAATTTCTTAGGGTCTTCTTCTTTGGCCAAGACAAGATCGCACTGTCCATGATATTCAAAATGCTCTTTTCTTCAAGGCTTGAAGTGTGGATCAATCACCATATGGTCTCCCAGTTGGGTCCCTGGGGTACCGGTAAAGGTGGGGCCACAGAGTGGTGTCCCTCTTTTTCGTTTTTTTATGTGAACACTTCAACTTTGTAATACAGAGGAGTTTTTCTTTGCATCTTGATCGCGCGAATAGGGTGGATAAATCTTCATTGAGTACTTTAACACAGAGTAAGTATAGGACCTATATAGTATCTACCGGTATTTATTGAAAGTACATATTCTCGACAATAATGATGCATGATATATACCTAATGGACATCAGAACCTATCTGGGCCCAATACTTTACTGTATGAGACCAACGCGCTTGTAAAATCCCAACAAGCCTGCATGAGTATATTTTGATGAAGCGAGCGAAGAAATAATGATTTCAGATTGTGTCCAGTAATCGAAGTAGGACAAGGAGGTGGTCGGAATTGTCCAGCAAAGCACCAGCTATTGTAGTTTAAAAGCTACAGTAATCATGAGGACTATCAAGCTCTGTCTATCGGCTCGAAGAATATCCTGGTATGAGAGGCCTGTATGAGCACGCTGAAGTAGAGTCTTTAGAGTTATTACCTTGGCTGTGTCTCTTGTAGCGCTTCCGTTCAACTCTAGACACATTCATTCATCAATTCAGCTCTTGATCCACCCCAGGGATTGTCTTAAAGTATAGACCATCTTTTCCAATCCTCGAAATAAGCAAACACCTGCAAAAGCACAAGTTCCTGCTTTACCACCCCAGATTCCTCCCGTCCACCAATTCAATGGAATCGTCAAGGCATGAACCAATCCCCCCAAGGCTCCCGCCACTGCGTACCATAGAACAATACTATAGGCTCCGGGAGGCTTTCGTTGTTGTTGTTGTTGTTGTTGCCCTTCTGTTGTTGAAGAATTATAGTCGTCGTTGTTGTCTCCTGCTACTGGTACCACACCCGTCAGCAATCGCGATGGCAAACTCATTCCCGTAAAGGCACCACCAAATACCAACAAGGAACCAAAGTTGTCTAGTTTGTAATAGTCACCAAATCCCATGCCCTGCGACAAGCTGGCAATCAATCCAATGACGGCGGCCGCTCGAATCGGATCTCTTAAATCATTGTCAATGTTGGACGCATTCTCGGCGACTTCTCTCAATACAATTGTGGCCACACTACCAATGGCCGCACACACCATGCTGTATTTCCATGGCGATTTTTGGAGTATGCTCCACCATTGTGGAAGACTCATGGGTACCTGGAGCATGGCATGTGGTTTTGACAATAGTACATCGGCGACAATATTACTTGCCACAAAGGCAATCATGCCCAATCGTCCTCCCAGTCCCAGCCATTTGTTTTCGCGGTGGACCACCACTTCAAACAAAATGGCATTCAACAAGGCAATGAGACTGGTGGAAATAAGAGTTCCACCAGAGGTCATGCCGGCAAAGGATCCACAAAAGGCAGCCTGCCCTAGACCGGGCGACCACATGGTAATAACCAAGGTGGAAACCGCACTGGCCAAGACGGGGTTCATTTGGTGGGCCACAATTCCATGCCACGTGAGGAGGGTGGCCAATATCGTAGCCACAAATCTCGTCTTTGTTTTGGGAAAATCCATGGCCATTCCTTTTGGATCAATGGGTTTCCAGATCATGTTTAATCGAGTTGTGGAAAATGATGATGGTGGTGATGATGAATTCAGATGATCGGCTTGTGGTGATCTGATGGAGTGTTGTTGTTGAATGGAAGGATGATGAGTCGTCGGCAGTAGTAGGAGCTCATCAACATTATTATTGACATGATTGCTGACCGCATAAGTCCTTGGCGATGCAAAGAAAGCATCGACTGACACAAGCAAAAAGAGTTGGAGCAGTAGAGAAATTCTCCTTGCAGCTTTGAACGACATTTGGCTGAACAGGTGAATGGCTGACTTTTTTAAATGCTGAAGATATGATGAAGCCGATGTGGCTGATAGATGGAATGACCGTTGCTTTGCTTTGCCTGTCTTCTCAACTTTAGAGTAAGCAATAGAATAGACAGAGATTGAAGCAGAAGCTGGATCGCTTTCGTCCGGTAAAGTCTTCGGATGTGATGAAGAGGTGATGCTGCTTATTGTGTGCCGTTATCATCCGTTGTGAGTTGTGCGAGAGATGCGGTGGAATAAGATATTTTCAGAATAACACGCAGGCAGAGTGCGTGATGTGCTTGGTCGATCTAGTCGATTGGGCGGTTCCAACGATTGCATAAAGTCGACAAAGGACTACGCTTCCAGTGCCATATTTTCCAAATCCCTTTAACACAGTCGTTGCCCGTTGTCTCTTTAGCTTAGCATCTCCTGCTTGCAAAAAAGCATATTGATAATGCTAGCGAAGGCTTGGTGTCTCATGCATTCTGAACTCCATTATAACACTGTACATATCGGGTCCGTGCGTCATACCGGTACTCCAGGCACAAGCATTACCTGCCGTGTATATACGCGTGCGCGCGAAATATTCTCAACAAATCGTGTCGTTCCACGATGATGTGCAAAGAAACCGTTTTGGCGGAGGTCCATGAACCCTCCCTCGTAATGATTTCTCGTAATGATTTCTCGTAATGATTTCTCGTAATGATTTCTCGTAATAATTTCTCGTCAGGATTTCTCGTAAGGATTTCTCGTAAGGATTTCTCGTAAGGAATTCCTCAATATTAAGGGCTGCTACAGTACCACATCCTGAACGTCAGTACGTCCCCACGATCACAGTGGCCTGCTTGCCCCGCCCTTTTTGAATTTGCAACTTACAAGGGAAAGCAAGCACACACACGAAGTATTGAAACCTGCATCCTTCGCGTCACTTGCATCAATTTCAACGCTATACAACAAATTTCCCTTCTGGGAGGTGTCAACTTCTGATTGGGAACATTATGGAAAGTAGCGAAAGCACCGAGCAAACATGCATCTTTCGCATATAACGTGCTTCCATTCTCGTGATATTTCCGTGACAAAGCTAAATCTCCCTTCCGGAGGGTGATATGAGCGACTGGGAAGAAAGTCGAAACGGTCAATACCGTGGCTTTTGCCTTACCGGTATTAAATACATCTGTCGAAACACGTATTTTCGAAAGCGATAAAACACATACCAGTACGCACAAAAATTCTTTCAATTGCAATCGAAATACAATACGAGCGCATAAAATTGTATACAGCAAGTATTGCTTCCAACTCTGCAATGATGCAAGCAACTGATACAAACTCTGCAACCTCTTCTTCATCAGCGGCCTCGAATTCGTTTCATCTAAGATGGTCTCGTCTCACCAAGACGGTTCAATTGGCAAATGAAAACAAAGGTTTGATGAGAGGTTCGGTCGCAGGTGGGGCTTCTTCTGCTAACAAAGATTCCTTGAAAGAATCAACTCTCACGAGTTCCACCAAAATCATTCTGGATGCAGTATCTGGAAGCGCTGCGCCTGGCCAAGTTTTGGCCTTGATGGGACCTTCTGGTTCGGGAAAAACCAGTCTGCTGAATTCCCTGAGTGGACGCACTGTTTATGAAAGCGGTGATTTGTCCATCAATGGAACCACCTTGACACCGCAAGCCAAGAAGCGTCTCCTGACCAAAATTGCGTACGTCAAGCAAGCCGATATTTTCTTTTCGCATTTGAGCGTACGAGATCAATTGACGTATACCGCCATGTTACGATTGCCACAAGATTTGCCCACGGCGCACAAAGTGGAAGAGGTGGAAAAGATTTTGGACATGTTGCGGTTGACGCATGTAGCGGAATCCCCCATTCATTTACTATCTGGTGGAGAAAAGAAACGTACCAACATTGGAACCGAGTTGCTCACTGATCCAAGTGTGTTGCTACTAGACGAACCTACTTCTGGATTAGACTCGACCAGTGCCGTGTCACTGTTGCAAATGTTGCAGCATTTGGCCAAACAACACCAAAAGACTGTCATTACTTCGATTCATCAACCCAGTTCCAGAGTTTTCTTTTCCTTTGACAAGCTCATGCTGCTGGCCCAGGGTAATGTGGTCTACTTTGGGACTCCCCGTCACTCACTCGAGTACTTGAGAAATGTCAACTTGGCCTGTCCTGATGGATACAATGCGGCCGATCACTGGATGGATATCTTGGTCAAATCCAACAGTGCAAGCAGCAGCACCAAACAAGACCAGACGAATTTGACGACTTTGACGGAACAAGATTCTTCCGATGCCGATGTCGAAGATTCCTTCAAGCCATCCAATCAATTGCTCATTGAAGCTTGGGACAATGAATCCATTGCGACCCAAGTCGATGAGGATGCCAAAAAGCACAAGGAACAACAAGCGGCACTGCAACAAGATTCTTCCGCTGTGCATGAAAAGGAAAAGAAATTCTCCAAATACAATACGTCGTGGACCATGCAATATCGCATCTTGGTCCACCGGGCCTTGAAGAACTCAAGGTCGGCCATTTTCACTCCCATCAACTTGATCAAGTCTGCGGCGTTGGGAATCATGGTGGGGTGCCTTTATTTTCAAATGCCTTATACGGAAGCCTCCGTCTTTGATCGGAATTCCTTGTAAGTACAATAATAATAATATTCATGCAGGAATGGAATGAGAGAATTGGATTCATATCTCACGCATGCTTTTCCTTGCTTCCTTCTTTCCCAAAACACAACAGTTTCTTTTTTGCCATGACCTACTGGGTCTTTGATGCCATGTTCAATGCCATGATGGCCTTTCCCATGGAACGCATCGTCATTCTCAAGGAACGATCCTCCGGTGCCTACCATTTGAGTGCCTATTTCATGGCCAAGACGACCAGTGAAATGCCCATGCGCATGGCATTGCCCGCCATTTACATGACGATCTCGTATTGGATGGCGGGGATTTCACCAAGAGTCGACTTATTTTTCCTCACGACGCTCATTAGTTTGCTCAGCGTGATTGCGGGAGAATCCATTGGACTCTTGATTGGAGCGTCCATTTATGACATGGAAACGGCCATGGCGACCATGACTGTAATGTCGTTGGGATTAATGCTCTTTGGTGGATTCTTTATTGAAAATGTCCCTTTTTGGTTGACCTGGGGAAAGTATCTAAGTCCCTTCAAGTATTCCTTTGATGCCTCTCGCCAACTGGTCTTTGATCGACCAGTTCCATGCGATGGAAGTGGACAACTGGAACGCTTGTGTGGACTTTCGGGTGCCGAAAACAATGAATTTGCCTCGTCCGAGGATGTCATTGAAGCCTTGGGTGTCCAAGGCAGCGTACTCTTCAATGCACTCATGTTGTTGGTCATTGGATTGGTTCCACGTTTCATTGCGTATTTGGCATTAAGGGCCAAGAAGGAACAAGATCGATAGATTATGCATGGTACCGTATATTATGCATATCATGTATGGATATGAACACACTGCACTACATGGTATGTAGTAGGAGAAGAATACATGTAAAAAACGAATGAAAGACACCCATGACAAACATGATTTCAATACTTTGTTCAACTATTATTGTTTTGGAGTTTTTAAGAAATATTATAATACTCAAGATATAATACTATATACATTGCAACTGTGATTGCCTCTATCTACTAGGTAGTAGAGCAAGGTTGTGTATTGTATTGATTCAAGATCGAATGAATCAATCATGATCACGACAGGTAATTCCAAAACCCGGACAAGGGTTATGTAGCAATAATTCTTGCCCCTGCTGGCCTCACTGCTGAAGGTTGTAGCTGTTTCGAATGCTATAGCATTACCGGTAGTGGTACACGAGAGTGTTTCATCGTCATGACTGACTCTAGAGTCGGTCGAGTAAGCGGTCATAGGTTGGAATGAATGCCTCTGATTACTACATACGGTGGTTGCATTCGAACAGGATCCAAGTCCAATATTTCATAATTACTGGCGAAAACTGGGTCTACAGTAACGGTTCTACCTGGTCGATAGTGTTTGGAATGTACAGTACATCATAAAAATCCTCACCGGAATATTTCATGACTTCCATGTGGTCGTGGATCGTGGAGTGGTCGTGACACTGACGCTGGACATTGATTGAGAACACATATGGTATACGCGTGCTGGCCACTGTTCGAAGTGATTTGAGATTGCGCATTCGGTCTCTTGCGTTATGTAAAAACCTAAAAGAGACGAGAATGCCAATGACTATGACTATGTTCTCTGGCTTTCTGACAATACCAGGTACCGGTAGGGGAGAACCACCAAGTGATTGCGTGATTGCGCCTTCTCTCACGATCTATATTTTTTCTCACGTTTTCATAAATTCACAATCTCGACCTTTGAGATTGAGAAAATGAAACTAAACTTGAATCTTGTGAGCGTGGCTGCTCTTGCAGCAGCCTTTGCTCCAACTGCTATTGAAGCTCAGAAAGGGGGCAAGACTGTCAAAGCCAACCTTGGTCTCTGTTATGCCCAAGCCGCTTGTGTTGATTTCAAAGTGAGCAAGGCCGCCGATGGTTCTTGTGCCGCGTCTGGTACTTGCGGGATTGAGGTTTGCATGGTCTTGGACACCACCACTCCTGGATGTCCCAAGGATGGCTCCATCAGTCACTTGTGTGCTGCCAGTGATGGCGATGGTTGCGCCGCTTATGCTCCTGATGGTCTCACTCCTCTAACCGGAAAGGGAAGCTCTACTGATTGTTTGAGTACCACCTTTGATGGAAAGTGCGAACCCGAAACTCAAGGAAGTCCAACCCGTATTGAAATGTGTCAAACTGCCGAGCCTGGACAAACCGTCTACTGGGCTCTCAAGGACTCTGATGTTGAAGACATCGGATACTATGACTACTCTGCAAGCGCTAACTACACCTATGCCGCTGATGATGGTACCGATTGTTACTCTCCCAAGATTGCCTGCTTTGGAAACTCTACCTTGTCCTGTGCTGACCCAAAGAACGACATGCACTTGTCTTCTCGTGTCTGGTCTTATGAGATCCCTGCCAATGATGGTACCTCATGTGACTTGTGCGACAATGGTGGAACTGTACCAGCTGTGGAACCATCTAGTCCTTCTGAACCAGCCGCTTCTCCAACCAGTCCTACTGAACCTGTCGCAACTACCAACCCTGACGGAACTTTCGTTATCCCTGACACAGATACGGTTGATACTGATCCCGGTGACGCTGATACAGTTGGTGCTGATGCTGATGACTCTGGTTCCTCTGGTGGTGGTAAAACAGCCAAAGCGAACCTCGGTCTTTGTTATGCTCAAGCTTCCTGTATCGAATTCACCGTCAAGAAGCACGATTCCACAGCTTGTGCTCTCACTGGAGATTGTGCCATTGAAGTCTGCATGGTCTTGGACACTACCATGGAAGGTTGTGCCAAGGAAGGTCCCATCAGTCACTTGTGTGCTGCTAGCGATGGCCAAGGATGTGCTGCTTATGATACCGATGGTATTACCCCTCTTACAGGAAAGGGGGGTTCTGATTTGTGTGATCTTACTGGAGAAAACGGCTCTGCCGCCTTTGATGGAAAGTGCGAACCTTCGGAACAACAAGCAAAAATTACCATGTGTCAAGAAGCCGAGCCCGGACAGACTGTCTACTGGGCTCTCAAGGATTCTCAAGTGCAAGATACTGGATATTATGACTACTCTGCCAGCTCCAACTTTACCTACCCTGCTGAAGATGGATCTGGTGACTGTTATTCTCCCAAGATTGCTTGCTTTGGTAACACTACCTTGAAGTGTGCTGATCCTAATGGTGACATGCACTTGAACACTCGTGTTTGGTCTTATGAGATCCCATCCAACGATGGAAGCTCTTGTGATTTGTGCGATGCTCCTTCGCCATCTGAACCAAGCTCTCCATCCGAGCCATCTTCGCCAACCGAACCAAGCTCTCCAACTGAGCCATCTTCGCCAAACGAACCAAGCTCTCCCACAGAGCCAAGTTCTCCAACTGAACCAAGCTCACCAACCGAGCCTTCTTCACCAACTGAACCAAGCTCTCCAACCGAGCCTTCTTCGCCAACTGAACCAAGTTCTCCAACTGAGCCGAGTTCTCCAACTGAACCATCGTCGCCAACTGAGCCAAGCTCTCCAACCGTGCCATCTTCGCCAAGTTCTCCAACTGAGCCATCTTCGCCAAGTTCTCCAACTGAGCCATCTTCGCCAACTGAGCCAAGCTCGCCGACCGAACCAAGCTCTCCAACCGAACCAAGCTCTCCAACCGAGCCTTCTTCGCCAACTTCTCCAACCGAACCTTCTTCGCCAACTGAGCCGAGTTCTCCAACTGAACCATCGTCGCCAACTGAACCAAGCTCTCCAACTGAGCCATCTTCACCAACCGAACCAAGCTCTCCAACAGAACCAAGTACTCCAACCGAGCCTTCTTCGCCAACCGAACCAAGCTCTCCAACAGAACCAAGTACTCCAACTGAGCCTTCTTCGCCAACTGAGCCAAGCTCGCCGACTGAACCAAGTTCTCCAACTGAGCCATCTTCACCAACCGATCCAAGTTCTCCAACTGAGCCAAGTTCTCCAACCGAGCCTTCTTCGCCAACTGAGCCGAGTTCTCCAACTGAACCATCGTCGCCAACTGAGCCAAGCTCTCCCGCAGAGCCTTCTTCGCCAACCGAACCAAGCTCTCCAACTGAGCCATCTTCACCAACCGATCCAAGCTCTCCAACCGAGCCTTCTTCGCCAACCGAACCAAGCTCTCCAACTGAGCCAAGCTCTCCCACAGAGCCAAGCTCTCCAACTGAACCAAGCTCACCAACCGAGCCTTCTTCACCAACTGAACCAAGCTCTCAAACTGAGCCTTCTTCGCCAACTGAGCCAAGCTCGCCAACTGAGCCTTCTTCGCCAACTGAGCCAAGCTCGCCGACTGAACCAAGCTCTCCAACTGAGCCATCTTCACCAACCGATCCAAGCTCTCCAACCGAGCCTTCTTCGCCAACTGAACCAAGCTCTCCAACTGAGCCATCTTCACCAACCGAACCAAGCTCTCCAGCTGAACCAAGTTCTCCAACTGAACCAAGTTCTCCAACTGAGCCTTCTTCGCCAACTGAGCCAAGCTCTCCTTCTGAGCCAACCCTTCCAGGATCTCCTACGGATATCCCTCCATCTGAGCCAACTGAGCCAAGCTCCCCAACTGATCCTTCTTCTTCATCATCCGGGGCATTTTCTCCCACTGCACCAATTGCACCAACTGGCCCTGCAGAACCATCCAGTCCTACTGAACCAGCTGCCACTGAGCCTATTGGACCTACAGAACCATCCAGTCCTACTGAACCAGCTGCCACTCAGCCTGCTGGACCTACGGAGCCCACCCTCGGAGCTCCAACTTCTCCAAACACCGCACCTTCCCCTGGAAGCAACGGAGATCCTCACTTCAAGACATGGAGAAACGAACATTTTGAATATCATGGACAGTGTGATCTGGTACTCGCCAAGGACGATTCGTTTGCTCATGGTCGTGGTCTCAATGTTCAGATTCGTACCAAGCTTGTCAGGTATTGGAGTTATATCAAGAACGCTGCCATTCGCATTGGCGATGACATTCTCGAAGTGGAAGGCTCCAGTGACAACGAACGAGAAGTATCCAATTATTGGATCAACTTTGAATACCAAGCAAATAAGAAGAAGGCCGCCACCATTGGTGGTTTCCCATTGACTATTTTCGATGACTTGGTTCCAGTTCATCCCAAACGCCGATTCGAGATTGATTTGAGCTCCAAGTATCCTGGACAAAAGATTGTAATCGCAACATTCAAGGAGTTTGTCAAGGTTGACTTTGTCAATTCCTCTCAAGAAGCTTTTGGCAATACGATCGGTATGTTGGGAGACTACAAGACTGGAAAGACGCTTGGTCGCGATGGAGTTACTGTATTGGATGATTTCCATGAGTTTGGAAACGAGTGGCAAGTGCTTCCCGTCGATGACATGTTGTTCCACAGTACCGAGCAGCCTCAGTTTCCAAGAAAGTGCGTCCTTCCAGAAGATCCTCAAGGACAACGCCGTCGCCGCCTGGAAGAATACTCCGTCACTGTTGAAGCTGCCGAAAAGGCATGTTCCACTTTGACCGACGAACTCTCCCGCAAAGATTGCGTCTACGATATTATCGCCACTCAAGACATGGACATGGTGGGTGCCTTTTAAGAAAAGAACAGTTGCCACCTTTGTTGCTACTAAGAGGGAAGATGAGCCGCAATGGGAATAATGAATGATAAATAAATACAAGAAATAGTATGATTATTATAGCAGACTGTGTTGCAACTTTTCTCATCTCTTGACGACAAAAACTGTTGGAGATGTACCTGTATTACTTTCGCATCATTTTGTTGAACAAACATGATAACAACATAAATGCATTTCTCCACATGTAGTCATTCTAGTCAATGCAGCTTTTGAAATTTGAAATTGAGCGTTCCGTACTCGAAGATGATTGATTCATTAAGTCGATCAAGGAAAAGCGTTTTCGTCCTTTGACAGACATTTTCGCCAGCGAACTCTGTAAACAGAATGACTCAAGTCGTGAAGAATGATCGACATTGGATAGATGTTTTGTTCAATGACTGATTTCATTCTCTTATTTATGGCTCTCATCAGAGAACATGTGCGATGACACAGCGAGAAATAAATCGTCCGTGTAAAACCTACGGATGGGCCTTATGAGGCTCATTAACGCTACTCACCTCACACGTCTTGCCACTGTCTTGGAGTAGTCGTGGTCTTTTTAGTCTTACTGGTAGGTAGGTTTGCTACACTCACTGAGCCACAGTGCATCGTACACAAGGTTGCTACCAGGAATGAAAACCGCTTCCACACTCTTGTGCGAAACAGTCTCCCATCCTCATAAAAAACGTTTTTCGAACGAAGAAACATGAAAGTATTCAACATCCTATCCGTGCTTGCTGCATTGGCAACCGTGGTCAATGCGCTGCCAACTGAGACTTGCGCTCAACAAAGCGAATGTATTTCCTTCGATATCAAAAAGATGGACTCTGACGCCTGTGGAATCGGAGGAGACTGTGTGGTAGAAATCTGTATGTTTGTCTCTGGAACGAGCGGCAACTGTATCAAGGGCGGTACCGACACCTTCAGCCACATGTGTATGCAGAGCGATGCGTCAGGCTGCCCTGCCTGGAAGGAAGATGGTGCCCCTGCTTTGGGAGAAGGCGATTCCACCACCTGTACCGCTTCTGGAGAAGGTTACGGCACTGTTACTTTTGATGGAAAGTGCTCCGGAAACGATGTCCTCATGTGTCAAGAGGGAAAGCCCGGCGACACTCTTTACTGGATTCTCAAAGACGGAGGAAGCACTATTGAAGAAGACGTGACCTACGATTTGCCGTACACCGTTGCAGGTGAAACTGAAGACTGCTCTAACACTGTTAGATGCTTCAACGGAGAGTACAACTGTGGTGAAAATGATAACAAGGCGCAACAGGCCCGAGAACGTACCTGGTCCTTTACCATCCCTGAAGGAGACGGCAGCTCTTGTGATGTCTGTGCCCCTGGTACTCCACCTGGCGATGAGCCACCAACTGATGAGACACCAACTGATACCCCTCCAACTGGTACCCCACCAACTGATGAGCCACCAACTGATGAGCCACCAACTGGTACCCCACCAACTGATGAGCCACCAACTGATACTCCTCCAACTGGTACCCCACCCACCGGATCTCCTCCAACTGATGAGCCACCAATCAGTACTCCTCCACTTACCCCTGAAGATCCTGAAGAGCCAGCAGTCGCCGCCCCCACCTCCGAAAACGAGTCTACACCCACACCAGGAAGCAACGGAGATCCTCATTTCAAGACTTGGAATGGAGAGCACTTCGAGTTCCACGGACAGTGTGATCTTGTCTTGGCTAAGGATGCTGACTTTGCCGAAGGACTCGGTTTGGATATCCAAATCCGAACCAAGCTTGTCCGTTACTGGTCTTACATCAAGAGAGCTGCCATTCGCATTGGCGAGGATATCCTTGAAATTGAAGGAAGCGTCGATGAGCAAAACCCAGTCTACTGGATCAACTTTGAACACCAACGCGAAGACGCCAAGACCATTGGTGGATTCCCATTGAATATCATTGCCTCTACTGGTCGCTTCCGCAAGCATCACTTTGAAATCGATCTGAGCTCCAAGTACCCCGGTGTCAAGATTGCTGTTTCCACCATGAAGGAATTCATCAAGGTTGACTTTGTTGGTGCCACTGAAGAAGCCTTCGGCAATGTCGTTGGTATCTTGGGCGAATTCAAGACTGGAAAGACCTTGGGCCGTGACCAAGCCACTGAAGTTCATGACTTTAACCAACTCGGAAACGAGTGGCAAGTCCAACCCATGGACCACATGCTGTTCCACGATGTTTCGGATCCGCAATTCCCCAAGCGTTGCGTGCTTCCAGAAGATCCTCAAGGACAACGTCGTCGCCGTCTGGAAGAATCCTCCGTCACTGTTGAAGATGCCGAAAAGGCATGCTCCACTTTGGCCGACGAACTCTCCCGCAAGGACTGTGTCTATGACATTATCGCCACCCAAGACATGGACATGGTCGGTGCCTTTTAAACAAATAATGGAGAAAGACACACGACGCACGATATGAGATTAACATGATCAATGCATAATATTATTTACATATATTACTATTATATAACCAATTGTAGTACTATCACCGGTACGATACTGCATGTACGGTAGCTTTCATTCTTGCACAACAACAAACGACAGTACCGTAACACAAGAAAAGCTGCTTTTCCTTCAATCGACTTCTTGGACCAATACTGCTTCCTACTATACCGTACATTTTCGCCCTTCCGTTCTTCCAGAGGAGCTTTCCTATCAATGACTATTTTCGACACTATCTTAATTCTGGATTGCGCCTTGTTAACGAATGCTTGCGAAGAACCTGGAAGATGACCTTGGCGTTTTAACAAGCGAAAAAGTAGTATAGCAAGGTGGTGGTACATCTTCTTCAAAGGGCCTTTTGGAAGTCTTGGTGTCTTTAAGTGAAAAAGACATAAAAATGAGTCAGTCAGGGCGTGATAAGAATTATTGGCCGCGTTGATCGTGATATATCGTGGGATCCGTCTGATCACTTCAGGCTGCAATACGTAGATCCTACACAATCCTAGTACTGTCCAAACCCGAGATGCCGTACAAGAATAAGAAGCACCAAGATAACAGCAGATTATATGTGCATAAAACTTTTATAAATATTACTGATTGCCAAAATAAGAAGTGCAATCGAAATCACTCCATCCATCCACCATGAAACTCAACTCCAATATCCTCACTGCCGTTGTAGCTGCTGCTGCCTTGGCAAACGTGGTCAATGCAGCTTCAGTTGCTACTTGCGCAGAACAAAGCAGTTGTATTTCCTTCAACATGACCAAGCTGGAAACTAGCGCTTGTTCCGTGGCTGGAGATTGTACAGTCGAAGTCTGCATGGACGTCAACGGTGGCAACGAAGGCTGCGGCAAAGGCTCCGTCGATTCTTTCTCGCACATGTGTATGCAAGCAAGTAGTTCTGGCTGTCCGCAATGGCAAGATCCTGATGAGCTCATTCCCAAGATGGGAGCCGGCGATGACACAACTTGCTCTGCTTCTGGAATTGAAGATCAAGCAGCCTTTGATGGAAAGTGTACCGATGGAAAGGATGTCACAATGTGTCAAGAAGGAAAGCCAGGTCAGACTCTCTATTGGATTCTAAAAGACGGAAGTGATACCACCCAAGAAGACGTGACCATTCCAATGCCCTTTGTCACAGAGGGCAGTGATTCCTGTGAATCTTCGGCTCGATGCTTCAATTACCAATACAAGTGCGGTACGGATGGTAGCCCTAGGCAATCCAGATTTGAGCGTACTTGGGCCTTTACCATTCCTGAGGGAACTGGTGATGCTTGCGATGTCTGTGCCGGTGATGAATCTGATGAGCCTGAGGATCCTGTTGTTCAATCACCTCCTTCCACCCCTACTGATCCATCTCCATCCAGTCCAAGTGAACCAGCCTCGTCTCCTAGCTCTCCCACGGAACCAGCTGCCACTACGCCATCCTCACCAACGGAACCTGGCTCTCCAACTGATGGAGGAGATCCACCAATCACTGGAGGCAACCCACCTCCTGCTACTCCACCAGCGACTGGTTCGGAAGGTAGTCCCACACCAGGAAGCAACGGAGATCCTCATTTCAAGACCTGGAACGGAGAACATTTCGAGTTCCACGGACAGTGCGATCTTGTCTTGGCTAAGGATGCTGACTTTGCCGAAGGACTCGGTTTGGATATCCAAATCCGAACCAAGCTCGTTCGTTACTGGTCTTATATCAAGAGAGCTGCCATTCGCATTGGCGAGGATATCCTTGAAATTGAAGGATCCTCCGACTTGGCCGAGATCGATCCAATCTTTTGGATCAACTTTGATTACCAACCCGAAGACGTCAAGACCATTGGTGGGTTCCCACTGAAGGTCATCACTGGAAAAGCTCGCTTCCGCAAGCATCACTTTGAAATCGATCTGAGCTCCAAGTACCCCGGTGTTAAGATTGAAATTCACACCATGAAGGAATTCATCAAGGTTGACTTTGTTGGTGCCAGTGAGGAAGCCTTTGGAAATGTTCAAGGTATCTTGGGCGAATTCAAGTCTGGAAAGACCTTGGCTCGCGATGGACAAACGGTTGTCGATGACTATACCCTACTCGGAAACGAGTGGCAAGTCCAACCCGTCGATACCATGTTGTTTCACGACATTTCGGATCCGCAATTCCCCAAGCGTTGCGTGCTTCCAGAAGATCCTCAAGGACAACGTCGTCGCCGTCTGGAAGAATCCTCCGTCACTGTTGAAGATGCCGAAAAGGCATGCTCCACTTTGGCCGACGAACTCTCCCGCAAGGACTGTGTCTATGACATTATCGCCACCCAAGACATGGACATGGTCGGTGCCTTTTAACAATGTTTACGATCAGATAACTCTTAACATGATGAATGCATAATATATAGTGTACGTTTACAATATTATTTTAAAAGTATAATATGATTTAAAATATATCAGTCTTCGAATGAATAGTTATTGTTGAATGAACACAACAACTATATATACGCATATTGAATATACCCTTTCATGTAGATTTCATATTGGTGAAAAGAAGTGTGCTCCAATTTTTGACATCGAAATTATGAAATTTGCGTCCTTTGCCATGATCGTTCAGGAAAAGGAAGGCTACTGCTGCGATTGTTATGCCACTCCTTCGCCATCAACAAAGCAGAGAAAGGATCTCACCCGTGGTCATGAAAAAGTCAAGGAGATGGTGTACGACTTGTGGAATTTTGTTGTTGTTGCAGTGGTACCACAACAGGGCCGCCGGGATGCAAATCGATATGCCAAACATCCCTACAAGAAGAAGAAGAAGACAAACTACGACTGCAGGACTCTTACACCAAACAGAAAAAGGGCAGGCGTAGCTAAAATCAATGTACTCGTACACGAGCAACGGGAAACTTTCACCGATGAAGGGAGGTCGCGCAACTACGAAATAACTATGCAGTCAAAATCAAAACCCGGCGAAGATCTCAGCGGAACAAGCTCGTGCCATTTTGATCAACAAGCATGATGATGTGATACGAAAAGATTAGAACGAGCAACTGAATAACCCAGTGTCTTGAATTAAACAGTTCATGAGGGAGATTGCAGCGCACTTAAGGCCCCGGATTTTGAACGGCAGTTGATTGTTGTGATGAATACCTGCAAGGATTGCCCAGCTGGTTTGATGGACTAGAACCTGATGATGACGCTGATGAAAATGAGGACGATATGGATGATCAGAATGTTGATTGTGTTGAGTCAGGATGATCCCGCGCTGCTCGTACTCTATTTTTCCAAGAGCTGGAGAGGCGAGAAGTAGAAAGCGGGAATCGTAGGCAATCTTGGGTAGGGTTGGATGTAGGTAATAGGCCAGCTTCTTTGTTTCGTATTTCTTCAGTAGTATTGGTAATATACCGGTAGTGTTATTGACAAAGGTGATGTCTGCATATTGAATATAATGGTCGTCAAAACAAAAAATCTCGGTTGCAATTTTGCTTCTACGCAAAATTCAACGAGGCGCTTGGTACAATACTGTACGATACCTCAGAATACCCTGTATTTTCCGCACGTCAGAGTTCCAGAACCCGCATACCGCGCAAACCGCGCACCTCTATGCGCTTGCCCGTATGTTAACCGTTGAGATTATGATTGATTCATTCATTCATAAATCACATCAATTTTCCCTTCCAACGACAATGGTATGCCTTGAGGCCGAGGAAATCATCACCCTCTGGAGGAAAACTCGTGGGTCGCGGATAATCTCTGTATATTGACCGTATCTATCTTGTTTGTATGAAGCGATATGGATGCATTTGCCCCTTTCACCTCTGAAATCACTGCTAAAGAACACCAACAAGGTACGAAAACTACTTTTGGAGCGGTTTCGGGACGTCTACGAAGTCCCAAGGCAACATTGAGCTAGATTTTTTGGCGGAAGTTGCTTCTCTTATTATAATAAAGGCAATGATACCATTTTATGTTCTTTATCTGGGTTCCTACAGGACGATTTTCAACCGAGACCATTGAGTTGCAAATTCATCAGTCACGATGAAATTGCACGGCCTGGACCCCAGAAGTGCAGAAAGTGGAATCAGAGGTTGTGGCAAGCATATTTGATATATATGTTAGGTCGGGAGTGGCGGTTATTATGTTGAATGTCTTTTGCTGGGCCGCAATCACACAATAATCCACCATGATTGGTTCTGTTGGTTGCTTGGACTGGACGGATAGGTGTCAAGAAGACGTATTTGCCGAATGCGACTCATATCTACCATCACCATCAAGACAAAATCTACGCAAATACTCATTTTTGTTATCTAAACTACCAAAATTGACGATTTGGAGCACATCAAGGTGCCATGGTGCGATTGTTCCCCTCGTTTGGACAAGCCGGTGTGGACGCCCAGACAAGTAAAAACCGCCGAACATGTTGTGGCAAGCGTATTTGATAGATATACTATGGCTGGAGCGGCGATTCATACTTCTATTTGCCTCAATTACTCTACAATCTACCCTGTTTCGTTCGACTGGTCCTGATGGGTTGCACAAACTGGTCGGCAGAAAGGCAAGAGGGCCAATGCCTCACGTTCAACATGTGCTGGAAAGCTCGGCAGTGATCCTACCTACTCGGAGATCCTTTCGGTTGTGTTTTCTCTGGAATACTTGCTGAGATATTGGAATTCCAGTGTTTGGTGCTGTCTGTTCCCCTTTCAGCATGAAGGTCGGCGTGGCCGCCCTGGAGACAGCCATCCATTCAACAATATACCAGAGCCTCCCTTGGATACCTATCGTTTAAATTTTCTGGGACCCAGGCAATGGATCCGCCTAGATCAAGAATCATGAGGCCAAAATGGGATCAGAAATCATCGAAATCCGGTCCAAAAAGTCACTTGGTAGTGGTGTGGGCCGAATTTCCTAATGATTGACTTGTTCCAACACATATTTGTCGTCCATGGGTATGTATGAGAAGAATTGGTGGCGTTGGAATGGACGTTTTCTAGGTAGAGGTGATTGAATGGCACTCACACTGCTTTGGGGATCAATCCAGGTTCATTCCACAATGAGTCAGGAATCCTTCGCAGTGGCCGAGTCGGTACCGTGACACGATGGCGCCAAGTTCAAAATTGGTCAAAATCTATGCAGTAATCGAATTTGTGCAGTGGTTTGGAGGGCTATGGCGGAAAAAGATTCTAGGCTAGCATAATTTTTTTCTTTCTTTCTTTCCCACTTGCTTGCTTTTCAATTGACTTTGTGGAATGGCCTGGAATATGATCGATTCTACACAAAGATCTCTAATTCAAAGTGCACAGAGTCCTAGCAAAACTGTATAGTTATAATATCGCATTAAAATTTATCGAAGAATGTACTCGCAACAAGGTCGTGTGGTACGACATCAGCGTCCGGCCTCTTGAGTATTTTTTGGTAATCACACGAGTCAAATTGAAGTCGATTGAGTCAAAGCAAAGTGTCAAACCGCTAGTTTTGTACAGTTTGGTGTATAGTTGAGGCCCTCTATCACACGGTGAAGACCTAAAATTGCTCAAAAGGCATAGGTATGGAAAGTATATATATAATCTACAGTAGGACCCTTTATCATTTATAAAAGTCCACAGGTGCTTTTTGAATTTTTGCTTTGTCACCAAAATTCCAAATTCCTGCCTATGGATTTTTCGTGTACGAGTGAAAAAGTAACACCGGGCTCACGATGAGGCTAAAGAGCAACAAACAACTATATGTTGTGATCACAGCTCTTGGTATTGGAACATGTATTCTTTTAGCTTTATGTATATTATAGATTTTAAAGGTGTATGCAATATAATAATTTGAATTGCGAATTTTCTCGGTCCAGAAGATATGGAATTCCGAACCATTCACCGAAAACCAAAATAAGTCAGCAGTCACCTTTCTGACCTCTACTGGAAATGGGACAACAAGAAACAGGAGCCTATAATCTTATTTCAAAACATCGCACAACATCGATTGATATATGTATATTGGGAGCTTTGGTTGGGGTTTCACCGTGTCTGGCTGGATACCTCCAGGGCGACTAGGAAAGATTCTCTGACTATTCTTGAGAATAAGCCGAATGGATGATTGATTCAAGTTAAGTGAATGCAGCTCAGACAATTTCTACGTAGAAGACCCTCATCCCCATTCGCCTAGCCTTGTTACATATGCCCATAGACGACAAATGTGCGTGATAATAAAGGCCAACCACTTCTCCAAACCTTCTGAACTCATTTGGGCCACTGTATATTTGATCTATGCCGAATGAATCTATGATCAAGTCACATACGGTTCGAAACCTATGGATTCAGAGATGGAATTGGTGTATTGTTGAGTGGTTTGCCACAGGGACCCTTTGAACGAAGGCAAACCATAACAATTATACCGAACCAATTAACACACCTTGTCGGTCGTCATTTCTCTTCCAAAGCTCGGATTCTTCTGAAAATTGGCCCGGTCGCTTTAGAGTAGTTGGATCAAAAGAAGAGAACGGTTCATTGTTGTCTTGTTTTTGCGCCTTGTGGAGTCCATTATCAACGCCAGCAGCTTCTTGACTGCAACAGATTTTCCTACAAAAGCTTGGGTTCGAATTGGGCGGATACTTTTAACACCCTTAGGCACCATCCCATTGGATCCGACAATCTTGCGTCCTTTGATACAACTTTTGTTGCCGGTGACATGTTCATGTGTGTGTGTGTGCTCACTAGGAACCTTGATATCAACCCCAAACACAACATCAGATCATGTCAAGGCCATTAGTGTAACAACAGCCAAAGCAGACAACCTCCATCGAACATTTCACGAAGTTTTTCCTTCGTATGGACTGACTCGCTGTGGGAGTCCATAATAAAACAGGTGCGAAACTTCTTTTTTAAAATGGTTGATTGTTTGTGGCTTCAATATAACCATAAGGGCCATGAACGAAATCAACGAGGCTAGATCACTTCAGCGTACTGGGTGTACACTGTAGGTAAATACGATCAAAAGCTATTTCGATTGCTACAGCAGCTACTGCATCTACATTTTCTTTCCAGTGGATGACGAATTTCTATACGGTACTGTAGATGCGCTTCCATCATTGCATTTTTCTTTTACCGCGGGACCGCAATACTTCGTGCTGGTACCTGTACTACCGTACACGTACGGTACTGGTACGGGTAGAGAACATGAAAACGAAGGCGAAACGAAATACTGTAGCGATTGCGCGAGAAGGAACGCAATCCAAATGATTGATTCAATCGACTACATGTTACAAGGGCCTGCAAAGGGTTTCCCGGGGAATTTTAAAATATCATGGAACATGAAACCGCAAGCAAAAAGGAATGCAAAACGGATTGATGATTCATTCAATCAAGGATTCATCCGACTTTGCAAATGTCCTTTTGGCCTTCTTATCGGAGGCTATTCCGTTCATGCATTCATTCGACCAAGACACCGACAAGACCTCATAAGACCCCTTTGCTCTTGTTTTTGACCGGGATTGCAGTTGGTCCTTAAATGTTGGATTACACATATTTAAGACAATAAAGTCTTTTGTTTCCGGTCTTGTATACGGTTTTGAACAGGTTCTTAAATGTTGGTTGCATCTATATAAGGTAAAGCAGACTTTTGCTTCCGGTTTTTCCATTCGCTCATAAGTATATGATCCGTGCATTTATGGTATTTCACGAAAATGAGATCTTTTCGCCCTTTCAGTATCAAAATAAGTGTTGATCGTGGACGTCGAGATAAGTTTCTCGCAGTTATTTAAGTGGTGGAGAATAGTCCCGGTCACTGAAAGTGGTCACTGAACCTGGTATGACTAATTTCACGATCTCTTTCTCACGTCCCGGCAAGGTCATCCTTCATAAATTCACTCTCTGATTATAACGAGATGAAACTTTACGCTAATGTATTGAGCGTGGCTGCTCTTGTAGCAGCCTTTGCTCCAACTGCTATTGAAGCTCAGAAAGGGGGCAAGACTGTCAAAGCCAACCTTGGTCTCTGTTATGCCCAAGCCGCTTGTGTTGATTTCAAAGTGAGCAAGGCCGCCGATGGTTCTTGTGCCGCGTCTGGTACTTGCGGGATTGAGGTTTGCATGGTCTTGGACACCACCACTCCTGGATGTCCCAAGGATGGCTCCATCAGTCACTTGTGTGCTGCCAGTGATGGCGATGGTTGCGCCGCTTATGCTCCTGATGGTCTCACTCCTCTAACCGGAAAGGGAAGCTCTACTGATTGTTTGAGTACCACCTTTGATGGAAAGTGCGAACCCGAAACTCAAGGAAGTCCAACCCGTATTGAAATGTGTCAAACTGCCGAGCCTGGACAAACCGTCTACTGGGCTCTCAAGGACTCTGATGTTGAAGACATCGGATACTATGACTACTCTGCAAGCGCTAACTACACCTATGCCGCTGATGATGGTACCGATTGTTACTCTCCCAAGATTGCCTGCTTTGGAAACTCTACCTTGTCCTGTGCTGACCCAAAGAACGACATGCACTTGTCTTCTCGTGTCTGGTCTTATGAGATCCCTGCCAATGATGGTACCTCATGTGACTTGTGCGACAATGGTGGAACTGTACCAGCTGTGGAACCATCTAGTCCTTCTGAACCAGCCTCTTCTCCATCCAGTCCCACGGAGCCTACTGAAACAGTTGGAACTACCAATGAAGACGGAACTATTGTGATCGAAGACACTGATACCGCTGCAGTATCCAAAGGCAAAAAGAATAGTGATACTTCTGATGCTGAGACAACCGATGCTGACACTACCTCGGGTGGTGGTGGTGGTGGTGGTGCACCAAAGGCCAACCTCGGTCTTTGTTATGCCCAAGCTTCCTGTATCGAATTCAGCATCCAAAAGCGCGATTCCACTGCTTGTGCTCTCACTGGAGATTGTGCCATTGAAGTCTGCATGGTCTTGGATACTACCATGGAAGGTTGTGCCAAGGAAGGACCCATCAGTCACTTGTGTGCTGCTAGCGATGGCCAAGGATGTGCTGCTTATGATACCGATGGCCTCACTCCTTTGACAGGAAAGGGAGGTTCAGACGTCTGTGATCTTTCCGGAGCTGATGGCACTGCCGCCTTTGATGGAAAGTGCGAACCTTCCGAACATCAAACCAAGATTACCATGTGTCAAGAGGCCGAGCCTGGACAGACTGTCTACTGGGCTCTCAAGGATTCTCAAGTGCAAGATACTGGATATTATGACTACTCTGCCAGCTCCAACTTTACCTACCCTGCTGAAGATGGATCCGGTGACTGTTATTCTCCCAAGATTGCTTGCTTTGGAAACACTACCTTGAAGTGTGCTGATCCTAATGGTGACATGCACTTGAACACTCGTGTTTGGTCTTACGAGATCCCATCCAACGATGGAAGCTCTTGTGATTTGTGCGATGCTCCTTCGCCATCTGAACCAAGCTCGCCAACTGAGCCTTCTTCACCAAGCTCTCCAACCGAGCCAAGTTCTCCAACTGAGCCTTCTTCACCAACTGAGCCTAGCTCTCCAACCGAGCCAAGTTCTCCAAGTGAGCCATCTTCACCAACCGAACCAAGCTCTCCAACTGAACCAAGCTCACCAACCGAGCCTTCTTCACCAACTGAACCAAGCTCTCCAACTGAGCCAAGCTCTCCAACCGAACCAAGTTCGCCAACTGAGCCATCTTCACCAACCGAACCAAGTTCGCCAACTGAGCCATCTTCACCAACCGAACCAAGCTCTCCAACCGAGCCTTCTTCGCCAACCGAACCTAGCTCTCCAACTGAGCCAAGCTCGCCAACCGAACCAAGCTCTCCAACTGAGCCAAGCTCGCCAACCGAGCCTTCTTCACCAACTGAACCTAGCTCTCCAACCGAGCCAAGTTCTCCAAGTGAGCCATCTTCACCAACCGAACCAAGTTCTCCAACCGAGCCTTCTTCGCCAACCGAACCAAGCTCTCCAAGTGAGCCAAGCTCACCAACCGAGCCTTCTTCACCAACCGAACCAAGCTCTCCAACCGAGCCAAGTTCTCCAACCGAGCCTTCCTCGCCAACTGAACCAAGCTCACCAACCGAGCCTTCTTCACCAACCGAACCAAGCTCTCCAAGTGAGCCAAGCTCACCAACCGAGCCTTCTTCACCAACCGAACCAAGCTCACCAACCGAGCCTTCTTCACCAACTGAACCAAGCTCACCAACCGAGCCAAGTTCTCCAAGTGAGCCATCTTCACCAACCGAACCAAGTTCTCCAAGTGAGCCATCTTCACCAACCGAACCAAGCTCTCCAACTGAACCAAGCTCTCCAACTGAACCAAGCTCACCAACCGAGCCTTCTTCACCAACTGAACCAAGCTCTCCAACCGAGCCAAGTTCTCCAAGTGAACCATCTTCGCCAACCGAACCAAGCTCTCCAACCGAGCCATCTTCTCCAACTGAACCAAGCTCACCAACCGAGCC